GGATTATCCACTCCTTAGGTTAAGAAATTTAGCAGTTTAAAATATCAAATGGCAAAGACTTGAATTAAATATGGAAGCCATGTGCTTGGTGTCTCTAGGTTTTTAAAAATAACTTTTTTTTAAATCTATATAATAAATGTGAATGTCAGTGTGTCACACTTTTTCAACTTTATTCCTAGAGGCCGTACCCCAACATAGCATACCATTTTGGGATCAGGTCGACTTTGTGAGCAAATTAAAAACATTCCAGGCTGGATCCAAATCCAAAAACCTGAAATTTTGGATTCCCAAGTTTTCATTTCTGTGATTGTTTTCAGATTCCACCATCTTAGCTTCTATTGATAAAAACAATTAAAGGGACAACTCTCTAACTTTCAATAGCTCATTGTCAAATGAAAAAATTACTGTTCTGAAATTATAATGTTTCAAAATAAAATTGTCTGTGTTTTCAACTTTACTCCTAGAGGCCATAGCCCAACATATCATACCATTTTGGAATCAGGCCGATTCTGTGAGCAAATTAAATACATTCTGGACCAGATTCAGACCCACAATCCTGAAATTTTGGATTCCCAAATTTTTATTACTGTGATTGTTTTTGGTGATGTTATTTTTTTTGTTTACATATTTTGCAACAAAATTTTTGTACAATAATAATTTTTATAACTTGGAAATAAATTTGGGAATAATTGAAATTAATTGCAAAATCCAGCAAAAGTCCCCCATGAAATAAAAATAATTATTTGTATGAAGAGTCAAGTCCTACATACATTAAATTGTCTTTAAATTAAGTGGCAGCAGAAGAATTATTGTTGAACTTTTAAAAGGCAAGCTTAAATATTAATGCAATACTTAAATCCATTGATCAATTTTGAGTTCTTCTATAGTTTATTATTGCCTATTGCATCTACTCCTCCCTACCAATTGTAATGAAGGCCCAACCAAGAACCCTCTGCAGGAGATAGCCTAAATGCCACTTGATAGGATGGTCTTTAAGCTAGTATAAAAGTAATTCATAAAATACTCTTCTGTTAACTTGGAGTGCACCTGCCTACCTTTCTGGGCACATTAATGCACCCAGGTGCATTAGTTGTGAAACACTGTTCTAGACTGGTTGCTTGATTATGACTACAGATCCCAATCTGCCTTGATAAGTTTTCCACAGGTAAAGAGAGAATAAATAAATTCATGTCTTTCCCAGGGGCATTAGTGTGAAGTGAATGCAAGAGCTTCAGCCAGAATTTAGGCCTGGCTACTCTATTTTATTTTTGATGGCAATACATGCATGGTCGAGTAGCTAGAAAGTTCTTTTTACAATTATGAGACCTGAGTTCAAATCTCACTATGGTCAATTCGATTGCATGAAATGGAACAGTCTAAAAAAATTAACTTTGTATACATATATACAAGCATAAATTGAATCCTATATCATGCCGTGACAAGATTTTGAAGTAATCCACAAACAAAAAATATTTAACTAAAATTTTGTGATTTTACAACCATTAGTTTTAAAATTATAGTACACTTACTTACTTGCATAAAATATTGGAGAGGTTGTAGAGAGTAGGCATAAAAAAAGCCTAAAATTATCAATAGCAATAAAGACAAAGAACAGGGTAAAATAATATGAGAAGACAATGTGATGCAGGGAAAACCAAAGCAACTATAAGATACTAACGAAGTTAAAAAAAATAGAAATAGTGTTCACATGCAAAAGGGATACAGTCAAGTGATTATAGCCTTCTGTCTTCAAGGCAAGAAAGAAAAAAAATGTGTGGACAAGATCATGAATTGTCCATTTTTATTGACTAAGAAGAAATCCCAGCATGCATCTGTAGGCTATGTCAATAAATTTAATGAGGCAAGGTTTTTAACAGTCATTCCAGGAGATGATAACCAATATGATTATTATAAAAACCTGATTATCTCATCTAAAAATATGGGTTATGTGGTGTTTCCAATTTTCAATGCAAATAAACAGAATTGATGAATAATAATAATAAAAAAAAAAAAAAAAAAAAAAAAAAATCAAGAAACATGTAAGATAAATGTCTTTGAATTTTAAATAAATCAGAATTTGAATATTATTATTCATGGTTGAATTAGTAAAATTATTTGTACCATTAATGTAATGGCTAGCAGCTCAGAAAGAGAAATCAGAGATCCAATTTTGAATTTCAGTTAGGTTTGTTACAATCACTTATAAAAAAATTACCCATGAGAAAGGTATAAATCCATCTCTTCTCCTACAGCTATGGGTTAAATAGGAGGACTTCTGGTGAAGGCCTGATTAAATGCATCATGTTCATACTTTTTTTTAAAAAAAAAAAAGATTTGTTTTTTAAGGTTCAAAAGACACTTTGAAATAAATTGTTGATTAAATTGAGCTTTTTATTTACTACTTGCCATTGTGAAGGACAAACAATTTTTCATTGTATGTGTTATTCATTGTTTTCAGAAAAAAATGTAACTAAATTTATTTAGATTTAAAATTCACTTTATTTCAAGATTTATTTTTTGTGGTATTTATTTGACTGACAGTCCACTCACTAATGTATGATTTAGTCCAAAGAAGTAAAAAGACTGCTGACTCCTGACTTAGGACTATGTAAAAAACATTCATAATTTTGAAATTTGTTTTCCTGTTTAGGATTGGGTTTCAGGTTCCTTAAAGTCTTTTCATTCTCTTTCACTCCAGTAACCCTTGTGCCTTAGTGGCATTATCACCTTGCTTGGGGTGAATTGATATATATATATATATATATATATATATATATATATATATATATATAAAAGAAGAAAAGAAAAATTCCAAAAGGAAGCTAACAAGTACTACACTCTGCTCCTGGCTGAACTAGAACCGTTCATATCAAGAGAATAATGAGGGGAAAGGAAATTAAGTTAGGTTTGTCGGTGGTCAGTGGACTTTTAAGAAAGAAAAGAGAAATAACAGGAAAGAAGGGATAATAGATTTATATTGTGAGAGAAAATGAACAAGAGACTGATTTGTTTAATAATTTAATAAGACAGGAAGAAGGAAGGAAGGAAGCAGTAGTTACTAAAAGGTATACTTAAATAAAAAAGTTAAAAAGGTCAACATAGGTCATGACAGTGTTTATTTGGTCAGGACAAACATTTCCATCAGGGAGAGAGATTTGAAAGGTTCCAGCTTATTTTATAAGTAAGAGATTGCCTTTCTGACTGATAAAGATAATCTATCATTTCCTTTTTATAAAACCCCTTTTCAAATTTCCTCTTCTAACAAATGCCATGTGAATTGTTCTCAGAGTATCACTTTTTGTATAAGTTATCCTTTAGATGAACCAGCAAGGTATACATTTATTATTTCTGTGAATATAACATTGTCAGCTTCCTTATCAGCTAAGATGGATTATTTATGAGAATTATTTAAACTTGATTTCATCAAGATGATTATCAAACATTGCAACATTAAACAGATAAAGTTCTTTTTCTTTAAGACATAGATTCCATCAGTTCTTTTTGCATCTGGTCATATTTATTTACTAAGTCTAACTTCATATAGCACAGCTGAATGGGGAGAAAGGTAGGGTTACCAAATTGCATTTTGTACAGGTTTTATTAAAAGTAAAATACCAAGCTATTTTTACTTTAAAAAAAAAAAAAATAATTACATTCTTATTGTCATATCTTTGGATTGCTCTCCAAAGGTTCTGATTCATTAAAGAGTTCCTATAAGAGTGAATAAATGTAAAAAAATTTCTAAATCCATCATGAAGAATAAAAGGTGTATCTATTAATATTTCATTGTGAGAAGAGATATGTCTGTTTAACGTGAGCACTTTAATGTTTGATGTGTAAAAAAAGTTCAACCTTTTAAAAATTGTAAAATGCTACTTGCTTTGACGTTGTCAAAAAGCTCTTTTAGTCTGGTTGTTTTCTAATATTTTTCATGGACAACATATTTTGTCAGTATGAAAAAAAATCAAAAAAAAAAAAAAAAGAATGAAGAAAAGAGTTGCAGAATACGAACATAAAATAGAAAACAAATGAAAGAAAAAGAAAACTCACGATGTGACGGAAACAAAACATAAAACAAAACCAGTTTAAAATATTTGACATGCATGAATGTTTACGAAATAGTAGCACAAAGAAAAATAAAATCAATGAAGCGTGAAAGTAAGGATATGTGGAGATAGAGGCAACCTTCATAGTTGACTAAACTGAATATAAAACTTTCACGGTCATTAAAATAAAGAGAATGAAGCAATAAATAGTAAATAAATAAACTCTAGTCAGTTTGTAACAAATCCTGATCTAATCAGTTTATCTGTTCAAAAAGTAAATGCTTTCTCCACCTGCAGCAGAATGCACACCTCACACAGCTGAAGAATTTCAATCACCGAGTATTTATATGGGCAGATGCACAAGCAGCTCAGTTTTGCTGAGAGATAGGTGATTTTAACAGGTCACCATCTCTAGACTAGTTGCTAATCAAGGTTACATAACCCAACCTCTTGCAATAGCAACCCATAGGAAGTGAAGATATGGATTCAAATCTTTTGCAAGGATATTTGTAAGTAAATGTAATGAACTTGAACAGAATTTGAACTCAGCTCTCTGATTTCTCATTCAAGGTGCATCTCATTACACCTCCCACACATCCATTCTTTTACAACAAATTATTAAATTAAGTCATTCAGTTCGGATTAGTTTGTTTTGATTGAGAGAAGACACTGTTATCACTTGAACCATATTTCTTGAAGTCACAGACTACCCCACCCTAAAAAAAATGTTTACCTTGATTGGATTTCTAATTTTTCCTTGGGGTGGTGGAGTCGTTTTAGTCATTTAACAAGATGACTGCTTCAAATAAAACCTGAAACCTTCGTTTTATTTTCTCTAAATCCTGAGCTGAGTTAACAAGTACAAAGCAATGGAGATTGGGTAATTCATCTTCACCTTCATTACATATGTTTGAAATTTTCTGGTTCTGTTATGAGAAAAGAAAAAATAAAACCTCACACCCAATTCAACAACTGCAAATGTAGATAGAGTCTTTGGCTGATATTAGCTGAAAATAAACAGGTGGGTAGCCACTCAAAAGTAGTATCAGATAGGAAAGAGACAGACCACCAGAGAGAAAAAAAAAAAAAGAAAGAGGGAGAGAAAAAAAAAAAAGAAAGAGGGAGAGAAAAAAAAAAAAAGAAAGAGGGAGAGAAAAAAAAAGAAAGTTTACAATAGAGAATGAGAGAGAAAAAAGGAAAAAAGAAAGGAAAGGAAAAAGGAAAGGAAAGGAAAAAGGAAAGGAAAAAGGAAAGGAGAAAGGAAAGGAGAAAGGAAAGGAGAAAGGAAAGGAGAAAGGAAAGGAGAAAGGAAAGGAGAAAGGAAAGGAGAAAGGAAAGGAGAAAGGAAAGGAGAAAGGAAAGGAGAAAGGAAAGGGGAAAGAGAAAAAAAATAGAAAAGAAAAAGGAGAAAGGAAAAAGGAAAGAAAAAGGAGAAAAGAAAAGGAGAAAAAAAGGAAAAAAGGAAAGGAAAAAGGAAAGGAGAAAATGAAAGATAAAAAGAAAGGAAAGAATAAAGGAAAGGAGAAAAGAAAGGAGAAAGGGGGGAAAAGAAAGGGAAAAAAAGGAAAAGAGAAAGAGAGAAAAAAAAATTCTCATCTTTTCCCCTAAAAGGAATAAAAAAAGGGGAAAAGATGAGAAAAATAACAAAAGAAAAGAACAAGCAAAAAAAAAAAAAGAGAGAAAAAAGGAATAAAAAAAAAGAGAGAGAAAAAAGGAAAGAAAAATAAGATAGAGAAAATGAAAGATAAAAAAAAAAAAAAAAAAAAAATAGAGGGAAAGAAACAAAAAAAAGAAAAAAAAAAAAAAAAAGAAAAGAGGAAAAAGGGAAAAGAGAGAGAAAAAAGGAATAAAAAAGAAAGAGAGAAAAAAGGAATAAAAAAGAAAGAGAGAGAAAAAAGGAATAAAAAAGAAAGAGAGAGAAAAAAGGAATAAAAAAGAAAGAGAGAGAAAAAAGGAATAAAAAAGAAAGAGAGAGAAAAAAGGAATAAAAAAGAAAGAGAGAGAAAAAAGGAATAAAAAAGAAAGAGAGAGAAAAAAGGAATAAAAAAAGAAAGAGAGAAAAAAGGAATAAAAAAAAAGAGAGAGAAAAAAGGAATAAAAAAAAAAGAGAGAAAAAAAAAAAATAAAAAAAAAAGAGAGAAAAAAAGGAAAAAAAAGAAAGAGAGAGAAAAAGGAATAAAAAAGAAAGAGAGAGAAAAAAAGAATAAAAAAAAGAAAGAGAAAAAAGAAAAAAAAGAAAGAGAGAGAAAAAAAAAGATAAAAAGAAAGAGAGAGAAAAAAGGAATAAAAAAGAAAGAGAGAGAAAAAAGGAATAAAAAAGAAAGAGAGAGAAAAAAGGAATAAAAAAGAAAGAGAGAGAAAAAAGGAATAAAAAAAGAAAGAAAAAAATTAAGAAAAAAAGGAATAAAAAAAAAAGAGAGAGAAAAAGGAATAAAAAAGAAAGAGAGAAAAAAGGAATAAAAAAGAAAGAGAGAGAAAAAAGGAATAAAAAAGAAAGAGAGAGAAAAAAGGAATACAAAAGAAAGAGAGAGAAAAAAGGAATACAAAAGAAAGAGAGAGAAAAAAGGAATACAAAAGAAAGAGAGAGAAAAAAGGAATACAAAAGAAAGAGAGAGAAAAAAGGAATACAAAAGAAAGAGCTAGAGAAAAAAGGAATACAAAAGAAAGAGCTAGAGAAAAAAGGAATACAAAAGAAAGAGCTAGAGAAAAAAGGAATACAAAAGAAAGAGCTAGAGAAAAAAGGAATACAAAAGAAAGAGCTAGAGAAAAAAGGAATACAAAAGAAAGAGCTAGAGAAAAAAGGAATACAAAAGAAAGAGCCAGAGAAAAAAGGAATAAAAAAAAAAGAAAGAGCCAGAAAAAAGGAATAAAAAAAAGAAGAAAGAGCCAGAAAAAAGGAATAAAAAAAAGAAGAAAGAGCCAGAAAAAAGGAATAAAAAAAAGAAGAAAGAGCCAGAAAAAAGGAATAAAAAAAAGAAGAAAGAGCCAGAAAAAAATGAATAAAAAAGAAATAGAAAGAAAAAGGAATAAAAAAGAAAGAGAAAATGAGCAAGAAAAAAAGAAAGAAATAGTTAAAATATTTAAAAAAAAAAAAAAAAAAAAAAAATTTTTAATCTATTGAGAAAGAGAGATTTAAAACAAATAAAATAGGCCTTAGCTTCATTTGGGTAAATTATATTATATTATATAATTTACCAAAATTATATTAAAATGTCCCAACAAAGAGATGCATTTCTTAAAAAGGGTAATTCAGTCTTGCTTTGCTGTGAAGTCCCTTGTAGCTGAGTGGTCTGATGACACCCAAGAGAGCAGGAGGTGCAGATTTTGGTGATAGAGGTGTAAACATAAAACTTTATCTCTGCTTGAAAATGTGGAGTTACTGAATGAAACAATAAAATGTTTAAAAGCATTATTGATATATTTCCTGTTTTAAACTTTGTTCCACATTTGATAATACCACAATATATATTTGGAATAAGCTGGAATGTTTACATAGGTTTTTTTTTTTTAGGGATGATTTCTGTCATCCAGCATTTTCTTTGGTACAACAATGGCTTGATCCAAGGGTGCCAGATTAAGGAGGTCAGACTGAGCATAATATTTTTAATTATTAATAACTTGTTAATTTTACATGAAGATCAGACTTCACAAGGAGTAGTCTATTACAAATTGTGTGAGAGAACCCAGAATATACATTTTCTGTCCTTTTGGTATGCCTCTGAAATTCAAATTTTCTACCAAAGTTCCCTAGTTTAACAAAGAGAAGTTTTATATATTTTGGAGTTTTAACTTCTTGTAAATTTAGATGGATGCATCATCTCTCATTGAATTCAGGAAACTGCAAATTATACTAACATTGGTTTAAAAGAGTCGAATGCACTTGATACATGATTGACAACACAAAAGTAAAAATACCAGAATTTTTCTTCTTTTTCTCCATGTCTCATTGTCTGATGAAGCTTTAATAAAAGTGAAACACAGATTGATAAATGTTTCCTACTTATTCTTTATCTTATCACATATGCATACACACACACACACACATATATATATATATATATATATATATATATATATATATATATAAAGATAAATACTTTAATGGTAATTGTTCTGATGAACTTTCTTCTATGGTACCTAGACTTTATGAATTTAAGTGCAGTACCAGATTGGTGGCAAGGTCTCATCATTTTACAGTTGAAATGGCTAGATATAACTGAGTTCTATGGTAACAGTTTCTTCTCTCGCACTTCTCATTTGGGGAACTCTCTTCTGGCTTCTTGCTTACCTGTCAACATTGATCTCCAAAAATTTAAATGCAATATCAGTTGTTATATTCTGTCTTCTTAATTCTTGTTCTTTTATTGTCTTCACTCTTTAATAGTATATTTTTCTCATTCTCTAACACTTGGTGTCCCCTTAAGTTATAGTGGCTTTATTGCCTTGCTTGGGATGAAATGATTAAATAAAAAATCACACACACATATATATATATATATATATATATATATTTGCTGGTTTGTATCACTATAATCCCTGGACAAAAAAAAGATAGTTGCAGTGAGGACAATGGACATCAGCTAAACAAAGAGAGGTGGGAGGTGAGAACCACAGAACAAAGAGATGAGAGAATGTGATGGAGGGACAGAGTTAGACAAAGAAATGGTGGCTGTCAAACAAAGAAAGAAAAAAGGAGAGAGATGGGGGAGGGGAGAGAGACATATTCTTCAGTTATTATTAGATTTCAGTCAAAAATGAAAGCCTTTTAAATGTCTCCCCCCACCTCTGACAGGTATGTTTTGGTAGATGAGCGAGGGAAAAAGAACAAAAACAAAATAACTTAAAACAGTAGCAAGAAGGAGGGGGGGGACAGATTGATTACTTCCTGCCAACACCCTGAAGTGTCAACCTTTATTTTCTTTTATTCAGTATACGTTGATGTACTAAAAAGCTATCACCCAGCAGATAGCCATCCCCACTTAAACAAAACCTGGCTTCTCCTTATTCCTACAGCCTCACCTCAACATTCTTAACTCCCTGTCACATCTGCCTTTATGTTCACTTTGTCAACATTACAACACCTGTCCTTAAATGCAATTAAGTGGTACTGACCCTTAACTTAACAGGGACCATTTTTACTGATGTCACAAAACCTACAGTGACATTTTCTGAAGTAATTCTTCAAAGTGTACAATCCCTCAGAATAATAAGAATACAACTTTCAAAAAAGTTTTATCCATCACACTGATACCTGTATGGGGTCAGGCGAAACTCAGCTTCACTGGCGTTAATTAACACACCTTTTGTGTGTTACTTAATGCCAAAACATATTTTAGATAGTAAGAATAATATTTTTTTGTTTTTTCTAAGTGAATATTGCATTAACAATTTTTTTTTTTGAGATGATTTTTCCAGATACAAGTCCAGCTAACTGGGGCAAGAAATGGCTTGTTAATCTTAACACCTCCAAAATGAAACGTCTCTCTTTTGTCTTAAAGAAGACTTTTTGCTTTCCCTCAGCCTAGCTAATTTTCAGGTGAGTGACTCATTACGCATTCTAAAACTAACATTTTCCACCAACATGAAATGGAAAAATTATATTACAAGATTTGCTGCTCGGAAAAATGGTTCACTATGTCATACTAGACGATTTTTCTTTTGCCAGAATTTATTCTAGATCTTTATAAATGTACCATTCATCCATGCATTGAATATTTCTGCCACATTTGGTCTAGCGCTTCTGCAATGTATTTTAAGATTCTTGACAAAATCCAAAGAAGAATTTGTAATATTATTGATCTTGACTGTAATTTTGGCTCTATTCACTTTCCATCTGCCATAATGTAGCTTCCCTATGCCTCTTCTATTAATATTTTCATTGTAATTGTTCTGATGAGCTTTCCCCTTTGGTATCTTGACTTTATAAATTTAAGTGCAGTACTAGATTGGCAACTAGGTCTCATTATTTTACAGCTGAAATGACTAGATGGAACTGTAAGTTCTCTGCTAATAGTTTCTATCACATTTTTCACTTGTGGAGCTGTTTTCTGACTTCTTGCTTTCCAATCAAATTTGATCTTCAAAAATTTAAATGCAATGTCAATCATTATCTTCTGTCTTTTTAATTCCCGTTCTTTTATTATTTTCCCTCCTTAATAATGTTTTTTTCTCAGATTCTTTCATACTCAGTAACCCCTTGTGTTTTAGTGGCTTTATAACCTTGCTTCAGGTGAAATGATTAAAAAAAATGCAACTAATCACAAGCAAAACATTAGAAAATATGAAAAAAACAAAAGACAAAAAATAAATTCATCCATGAGAACCATTACAATAATCCATCTGCTTTAAAACATAGCTAGAATCAGTTATAGAATCTACCAGATCCAAGTCCAGGAATTTTCTTGATACAATTTTGTCATTGAAGCACCACAGGCACAGCAACTGCAGTTTCAATGGGTATGTTTACAGTAAGATAGCTTTTTCAGGTTGGTTTTGAATTTAAAGTTGTCCTTCTAGACTAGTTGCCCCTACAAAGGCTAAAAATCTGTGTAATACTAGAATTAGTGTTCCCTTAGCTACTAGAGAGATCAGTAGGACTTTTGATTCTAAATACAACAAACGTAAAAATTTGACTACTATAAACCAAGAAAAACCAGTCCTCACATCTCATTATTGGTTTCACAGTTTAATCATCAAAAGAATTCACAACTCATTCATTCAAGTAAGCTAAACAAAATAAAATAAAATAAAGAATACATAATACAAACAAATAATCATAATACTAACAACACTTATGTACTGTGTTACATAAGCACACACCAAATAAAACACTTGTGTAATTTATTGCCAAAATATAATTACATAAAAAGGAATAACATCTCAACTCAATATCCTGTTGTGCTTGTTTCCTGTTACATGTCTTTCCTCACAATTCATCTTCAGCATTAATCTGGAAGATTCCTCTGTTGCAGTTTGGAGCTAGATAGTTCAAATTACAGTAACTTGTTACACTTTTCCTTTTATTACTACAACAAAACCTCTACACTCAGAGTCATAATCATAGTAAACTCCCTAATTTGCAGCAGTGGTGATATACATTACTGTCGAATATTGGTTAACTTGCAATTGCTTAAGATTCATGTCTTTCCCAAGTGCCTTGGATGGAGTTTGAACTCAGCTCACCAATTCCATTTTCTGCCCTAATAACCATGATCACATTCACACATCCAGATGAACTTGTAAGACTATGTTAATCTAAAATAAACATATTTCCTCTCCAACCGAAATAGATGGCAAACTTTGCTTGGTCTAGCACCAAGACATGGTAATAATGAATTATAGGAAATAAAGTTACAGATTTCATGATGAAATTATTTAATGTATTGCATAAAAGAAGAAAAAGTATATCTTTGTAAAAATGGATTGTCTTCAAAACTTGTTTGTATATTACTTGACAGGTTGACCACAAGAAGGTAACAGATTTTCTTTGGACATTTGATTGGAACATTCACCTTAATCATTAACATGAAACTTGACTACTATTTACTTATTTCTTCAGTATCTGTCGATATTTCTGAGAGGAGGTATTATGTACATTATTTATATTATTCGGACTATTGTCCTCATCTTTGTTGCCATATTTATTATGTTTCAGCCGTTATACACTCAGGCCTTCTTCAGGTGGTTGGAAGGTCAAACTGAACCCTTTATTTTGCTCACTGAGGTAGATTGTTCTAGTTCCATGTGTCATGTTTAATGAGGTGTAATTGTCAAAATATTGTGACAAGATTGCATTAGTTATTCAGTTAGGCTTATTCCATTTAGTTAACTGTTTTATTCAAGTCATTGGGCTTGGAAAATGGTAGTCAAGCCAAATATTTATCTATCTAGATATTAATATGGAATTGATAAACACACGTACAATTCTGATGATTACGGTGGCAAAGAATAAATTCCTAGAAAACCTAAGAATAATGACTAATAATTTAATTGCTAATTATTGTGCTAGATCCAATTTCAATAAGCAATTATATTTAACCTAATTATAATTAATATTAGATAGACTAGTAACAATACTTCAATTATGGTGATCTGATTTTATAAACAGTTTTGGATTTGACTTTTGTTTACCAGTTGTTGGGCTTGGAAAATGGTAGTCAAGCCAAATATTACTTCCCTATCTAGATATTAATATGATATTATTTACCTACCTTCGTAAGGTAAACCAAAGGGATAAAAAAATAATAAAACTGAAGACAGCAAGTCTGTGTGTCTTTCTTTAATTTTTATCCCATTAACCTCCCTAACTTTCCTTTTACTTGTTTCTTTTTTTTTTCATTTCTTTTAGCTTTCTTACTTGCCCCCTCTTGTTTATTTCATTCACTTTTGTACTTCTCCCTCCTCCCCTCCCAGTAAAGTTAAATAAGAGGGAAGATTGGGCACTCTAGCCTTGGTTGACAGACAGACAGAGAGGACTACTCTGAATTTAAAACAGCATTGAAAGTGACAAAAAAATTACTCTGCTATCCCACCCCCAAAAGTCATGGCAATTCACAGAAAAAGAAGCGACATAGCCCTACCCCCAGGCGCATCAAAAACAACACTTATCCTCTGCATTTCCTCCTTCTCACATTTACTTGCAATTATAATGATAGGCAAGTGATGTGTGTAACTCTTTTCATATATCACTAATTCTTGGTGGAAGTGCTGGGAAGCTACATTCTGATCTAAAGCAGAATTTCCAGTCCATACATAAATAATCCCATGATTATTTTTTTATTTTTTTTTTTTTTTTTTTTTTTATTTATTTATTTTATTTATTTATTTTTTTTTTTTTTTTTTTTTTTTTTTTTTTTTTTTACACGTACTCTACTTATTTCATTACTATAAATTAAATGTAATTTTTTCCCTGGATTATTTCATATAATAATGATAGGCTAATGTAAATCTTTACTACACACCATGATGAGACACTTCCCGCCACAAGATTATATGTTTGTGTTTACTGTCATCCTGTCTTTACAAAATCAAGTATAGTTCCAGTTCTATGCAGGGAGTTGAATATATATATATATATTATATATATATATATATATATTATAAAAAATCCAAGCAAAGAAACTTTGACCTTTAGGCCAACTCCGACCTTTTAGAACACTTTCAAAATTCAGGCACTACTGCAGAAAGTGAATTAGGACAATGGTTGAGAGATAAGCATAAAAAGAGAGCTGAATTGAGGCCAGAATGGCTATGAGGTGTGGGGACACAAGAAAGATAGAAAGAGGGAATTTGACAACACAGGGAATAAGTAGAAAGAAAAAAAAAATGAACAAGTTCAGAAAAAATGCATTATGAAAAACAAGTTTTGTATGTGGAAAGAGGAGGTTAAAAAAAAAAAAACGCAGGATTAGGGATGACAAGAAATAAAAGGATGAATCCATTTATGTCAAAGCTTTTGAACTGATTTATGCGATAAATTTATTTATACCTGAGTTTGACCTGATTTCCCAAAATAAAAACTTCTTTTGATTTAATTATAAAAGCATGCTGGTAGAATAACTAATAACATCATTGAAAGTGAAATTGTTGAGCAAAGTTCAAATTCTGAGTTAGTCTTAACGTTTTTATAAACGACTTTGGGAAAAAGCATGAATCAGTCTCTCATTTCCACAACTATAGGTTTGGTAAAGTGAAAGAAAAACTGAATTCCAGAATATGGAGAAGGCAACATGAAATAACTTCATTTTTCTCAAAAATACATGGCAATTCAGAGATACAGTGGAACCTTGATTCTTGAACTTAATTCATCCCAAGAAGTTGTTCAGAAACTGATACAATTTGTCAATGTAAAAATTGTCACCTTTCCACAAATTATTGATGTTGAAATGCTATCACAAAGTATTTGTTTATCATTAATCCAAATCAGAAACAATTTTTACAATTGTCTGTGATCTTTGTTTAATTAATACTTTTATACCTTTTACAACACCTGCTTCTTTGATTACATCTTTGTTCTTCAATATTGTGCATTTGGCATCAGAAAATTCACTAATAGATTATAACAATTTATATAATAAAATCAAATGTAAAAATCATATAAAAATAATTAAAGTGTAAATAACAAAATAATACAATAGACTATGTTTGGGTATTACACTTTCTTTTGATTGATTGATTCATTCATTTTCTACAGCTTATCAACTATTTGCAGGTTATTTAAATACAGAAATTATTTTTAGATTGTAAGAATTTTTCTGAAGATAATAATGGTCTATTGATATAAGTCTTACTAATTAATCCATAGCTGCGAGAGAAGAGGTGGGTTCATACCTTTCACAATGGTATTTGTACATAAATGAATATAACAAACCCAGCGAGAATTGGAATTCAGCTCTGATTAACAATTCTGAGTCATTATCCATTACACCATCTGCACATCCAAATGTACAGCAATTAGTATTCTCAAGTGGTCACTCATCTAGCTACTGACCAAGCTCAATGTTGCTTAACTTCAGTGATTGTATGAGAACTGGTGTTTCAATATGATGTGGCTGTAAGCCACATTTTCTTTTTAAAGACATGTTTTACAAAAATATTTATTAAAAAAAAAAAAAAAAAAAATTGCTAACAAAGGCAGATGATTAGTAGAAAAAATGACCTGGATAAAATTTGATGCATAAAACTTAATATATGTGAGGCTCAAATTGATGATGTAAAAATACCGTCAAAATAAAGCCTGACAGTTTATGAAAAAGATATATATATATAAAATTTTGTTTATGAAGATCAAATCTGATAGTCTCTAAATCCACTTAGATAAAATTTGCAAAAGTGTAGTTTAAAGATATGTTAAAATTTTTTAATCAATGTAGAAAGTAAGTTATGATATTGTGGTAATTTAAGAAGTCTGGTTGCTCAGACATGCAGAAGGAACTTTGCTATCACAGATGAGGGACGGCAACTGCAGGGCAGAAGAAGGGTCTAGAACCAGGCGTGGACAACATTTTTCGAACAGTGGGCCACATGAAGAACAGTTCATTATAAGGCAGGCTGCACTACTAAATGAAGAAAATTTTTTTTTAATTACAGATACCGTAGCCATTTTCCGCAAAAAAGAGCATGCACATAAGCATCTGCCTCAGAAATGAGGAAAAGTCGTTCTTTAGAGAGAAAATTTCTTTTATAATTTAAAAATAAGAAGTCCCGATATAATATTATCACTGATAACAGAATACACCCTGCTGTATGTGATTTGTTTCTTTCTAATTTATTCATTTGACGACGAAAAAACATAGTTTAAAAGAAGTATATTTATTCTCTAGAGAAAAATAATTATCATTAACGTTTCTGGTTTCTGAAGTAAAAGGTGTTTACATTTATGATCTTCCTTAATGAAAATTGCCAATGGTTTAAATGCTGACAATGTTAAATTCAATGAAATGTTACAAGACACATTGTACTTAATCATTGTTTATATATGTGGCTAGGCATCCAGGAACAAGGGAAATCAAAAAAGAAAAAAAAAGTTATTTTCCTCGTGAAATTAAGTGTGCCATTCAGAATGCCAATCGGTCTGCGTGTGGCCCGTGGGCCGCAGTTTGCCCATGACTGGTCTAGACTTTCACAGACAAAAATTGTTAGCAGTTGTTGTTGTTGGGAGTGGAACTTTTGCTCTCTTTCTCCTTCTTCATCCAAGAAGAAAAAAAGAGAGTAAAAAAGCTGAAACGTTTTGGTATTCACAACTCTGATGTCAATGACAACTACTACTAGTACCACAATGAAAAGGAAGACAACGAAAAGTAAGAGACGAAAAAAAGAAGCTGAAAGAAAGCAGAAGTTTCTATGAATTTAGCGAGATATACAATAATCTTTCTACAGTTGTTTGAGAAAGTTTGTTGCAAAATTACCAGTAAAAACTGATTTTGAACTTTTTATGAAAATACAAAGTTTATCTCATCTCACTTTGTAACACTAAAATGTTGTCTAAACAAACCAGAAACCTAGCAAAAATGCCTGTGAATTTGCCATCCTTCTCAACTCTTTCAACAGTCAAATGAATTGAAGTGAACATTTTGTTGATACTAATTGTTTTTTTTTAGCCCATCAGTATTGTAATTAGAACTTGTTATCTTGCCTCAGTGTTAGGTGCACAAAAGAAAATTTTGTGCAAGATTTTTTGTAAATTTTGTATTCTGTGCTATTTTTCATGTCATTTAGTAAATATAAATATCTTTGAAATTTTACACCAGAGTAAAAGTCTTGCGTTTTTCATTTGTACTTTTTATAATACTCAGATCAAGAGATTGGATGTTATCTCTTCTCCTCTACCTTCAAAAATCCTTTTACAGTCAAAGACACACATTCAATTTTCATGCTTCACTATTATTTGCCTTCTCACTTAAATCGTGGCTCTCACCACTTTCTTCTGAAATTTGCTGATATCACTAAATTTTTTTGGAGCCATTAGGATGGAAATAATAATGAAATAATATATGAAAATATGACAAAATGCACATTAATGGAATGAATGTGCACAGTGTCAATGGAAACCAACGAATAACTGATGCATTTGAGTGCTCAGAGCTTCCCCGGGTTGATCTGCATTTGAAAACAGGTCATATTTTTCTTAAAGAATTCATGCAAGAAAAGAGAACAGTAAGAATAACAAAGATTTTGCAGAGGATAGGCTTGGCTTTGATGCCAAAAACCAGATGAATTTAAATTGAAAACAGGTGCAATTTGATTGTATAATGATTCTCAATTATTAAACCAATGTGGATAAAAGTATATGTTGCCTAAGGACTTGGGGTTTAATACAGTTAGAGTCACTTGTTTGATATATAAGAGAAAAAAATTTGACTGCAAAATCAGAACAGAATATACATCACTTGAACAAGAAAGCTGTCATCTGGTGCCAAAAAGGAATAGACCTGTACTAGGTAAGAAAGCTGTAATCTGAGAAGAAAGGAATAGACCACACTTTGATGAAAGGCTGTCATGAAGGAGAAAGGATTGACAATCTGACAATCTGAGGTGTGTATAGTCCACTCCTATTGCTGCTGCTAAGTAATGAATTTGATCACCTGAATGAGAAAAGCTGTGACCTGGGATGATAAAAGATTACTGCTGCTACCACCACCACTACTACTACTACTGTTGTTGAAGATGAATCTTCTGAATTTGATATACAATTTTTTTAAATTTATGAATTGATCTCATTTGAATGTCTTTTCTAAACCTGTAAGAGGGTATCTCATATTTGAAAATGCCTGCTTCAAACATCAAAATATTTTGTCTCAAGGACTTAGAAAATCAGTTTTATTTGAGGTAGAACCTTTTTCTCACCCCCTTTGGTTTTCAACCTTTAAACCTCAACATTTTGAATTGTAAACTTTTTGAAGTAAATAAATTTCTTTTTTGCTGAGAAAGTGATTGATATGAACTGTTGCTCTAAAAGAAAATTGTTAAAATTCCTTTGCTTTTAATGGACTCTTGTTTTCTAAGTGAAAGCAGATTTGTATTGCAAAGAACTGTTAACCTACCTTAATGGTTTAAGGTACACAATGAAAATTTTGTGCAAGGCCTATGTTGTATTTTGTATAGTGAAAAATAATCTTGTAATTTTAATAAATAAAAAGTCTTTTTTGTTGGCACAAAAGTATTTAAGAGAGGGACAAAAAATTGACATCATTCTCCCCTTAAACCCCACTATTCTCTTAATTTTTTTCTTTACAAATCTACCAGTTCTTCACAAAAAAATAAATAAAAGCCTCATGGTTACTCACCACACACAAAAGTCTAATAAGAATGTGCTACTTTCCACTCCATTAAACTAAGGTCAGATAATGACCTTTGCAAAATTGTTTAGCATTCTTTGTTTTATCGAGATCATTTAGCCAAATTCAGAAATCTTTCAAATATTACCATAACCAGTGAATTATCTTTATTAGATGGCTACATGGTGTTAAAAAACATACCATGGCAAAGCTCAGTCAATTCTCCAGAGAATCTTGCAAATATTATATAGCCTGCAATGAGCAAGGAGAAAAATTAAAAATAGACAAAGTATTGTTCCAATTTTCAACTCAAAAAGATGGCACCATGAAAGAGGTTAGGTGAGGATTATGATCAAAGATTACACTTGGAGAATGTCAGTAATTAAACAGATCAAAACATTGAAAATAAAATTTATTTTATAATTTAATTTAATAATTAAATTTGAAGTTTTTCGCTTCGGTTTTTGGAACATGGTAATTCCTGTGTAGCAAAGGAACCATATTTTTTAAATCAGTTAATTTATAAAATTTATGCTCAGTAAACTTACATTGAGCACCGTTTTGTAAAAATAAAAATCTCAATAAGAACACTGGGATTATATATCTTACTGTTCTTTATTTTTTATATTATATATATATATATATATATATATGATAGATAGATAGATGTGTGTGTGTGTGTGTATTGGATAATGATATATGAATTTTTATATATAAAGAACAGTTTTGGAGGAAAGATGTATGACAAAGTGTAAAAAGTTTTCATGTGTCATGTTAAACAACTCTGGACCAATGAAGTCCTAACACGCATCACACAAAATCTTTTTCCATTTTTTCATACATTTTTCTTCCCACCCAAAAAAAATAAAAAACAGTACAAACAGTAACTAAAAAAAAAAAAAATAAATAAATAAAAAACAGTAACTAAAAAATAAAGTAAAAACAGTAACTAAAAAAAAAAAAAAAAAAAAAAAAAAAAAAACATTGCTTTGAAAATATGATGAGTAATCAAAAACCAGAAATAGAGACATTTGAAATTTCTAGGGTACATAATGATTAAATAGTACTTGGAGAATTTGACACACACAGGACATATTGAAAGCAAGAGAGACAGAGGAAAGCAGTAAATAAACTACATAATGCACTTGTCAGATTGGCAGAACAGAGATTAGGAGAGATAGCAAAAACACAGACTTTACTCAAAGCTACAAAGGACAAGAAGTTCTGGAAAGCTATGATTGCCCACATCCTGAAGGGACATAGAGGAATGAAAAGCCCTTGAAAATGTTTAGCCATTTTGTCAGATTTTGGGAAGAGGATTGGGCAGAGAACTTTTCAATGTCCTCTTGTAACAATGCAATGGTTTATCCCAAAATCTCAAACAGCAAGAGAATAAATATTAAAAAATATTAGTTTTTTTCTTCCCATGAGAATTGATCTTTCTTTGCCAAAATAAAAAAAAATTTTTCAATTATTTAACAGTGTAAATGTTTTGAAATTACAATAAATACTATAAAAATTAGTAAATTTATGCATCTATGTATGTATTACAAAACACTCTTTGCATGTGAGTACAGGGCTCGTGTTCTTAACACATTGCTTTACAGCATCAACACCTAAGTTTTACTCCAGACAGTAGTGGTGTCTCAAAACTTTTCCCCTTCAAAGTCTGAGATGCATTCTGGACATCAATCAAACCAACAAATTCACTAACACAAGTCATTATCTGTGCTGCATTACACAGTATCTTCAGCCTGCTCCAGTAGCATTGTCTCTGC